CCTAATTTGGATCAATTATCCCATTTCCCCCTGCGTGAAACACTGTTTCTCATTCAGCCAACTCCTGCAGCTATTTGTCAGGGCCGTGCCGTGCGCTCACCTCTTCACTATTCATGTACGCGCTTGTCAGCATGACTGAGTGCTCGCTTTCTCCACTGTCTGAGGCTCATTTGAAATTCAAATATTGCCTCATCGCAACGCCTCAATAATATTGACTTTTCACATACTCTCTCGTAGAGGCAGCGCCGGGTTTATATTTAGGACATGGTTCTGTTTCTTTTACTCTGTTCAGGCTCTGGCAGTCATTCTGCACTGCCTTCAGTGAAAGTCACCAAACAACACAATCACACTTTTTTTGGTTTGTTTCGTCAAACAGTTTACACAGGCTGTAAAATATTCGAAATACACTGTAGTAAAATGAGAACCCAAAGAAATAATGTCAGCTCACAGAGCACCGATACCCTGAATCTGCAGCAGTCAACCACAAGATGGCAGAATGTATCAGTTAAGGCTCTGCAGATTTACTGTAACTTGTACACAACATCACAACAAGTGTACACCTGAAGCCTGTTGGATCTGGAAAATACATGAAATACTTTACATATACTTTACGTATACTTTAAAGTATACATTCTCCTTGAATATACTTTCAATAATATTCTTTAAAACCCTAGATTCAACACGAGGGATTATATGCTTAACATGATTTAATTCCAGTTTAATCCACTGCCTGCCAAGAAAATTCAGGTTCGAGGCAAGTATTTGTGGCAAATCTAGGGAACTACATACTATGCAGTAGTTGTGTGTTTTCCCTGCAGTGTTGCCCTCTGCCTGTATTTTTCCTCAAATTCAACAGTGAAAAACATACCTATTAGAAGTAGTATGGTATAATAACATGATGGTATATAATTAGGGAACTCCAGATATTAGCATATTATGTAATACCTGTACGAATCGTTATTGGTTTTCCCCCACTACTGAAAACCCAATAACATAATGCCTAGATTTTGCCAAATGATGTGTGCCCTAAAAATAGTTTGGGGGATAAACGGCTGTACATTAAAGTCAATGTCACTAGATGGCAGCATTACAGCTAATTTAATTAAGCTTATAAATAATAAACACATAAATACATATTACCAGGCCTATATTGGTATTGGCTGATATCAGAATCGGAAAGTAAGGTTTGGACAATATCGGCACAAAGTTAATATCGGATGAATGAATATTTCACCCAGCACAGTGATACTATTGCAGTACAGACCTGAAAACATAAGCTAAGCTAGGCTAACTCTAAGCACTTCATATGATTTGTATTAGTACCTTCACGGTTTCAGTCCTGAAATTTTGTTACCCAATATTTGGTCACTGGATCCACCAAGTTTTCAAGTAAGAGTATGAGCTCTTGAAGTATCATGCCCAATACCAATACTAGTATCTGAATCGGTGCCTCCCTAACATATGTGTGATAGTTTAACTGTTGACGATCAGTAAACAATATTAGCCAGTGAAACTGCATGAATCCTTACATGTGTAATGTACTGCAGTTATGTACATAGTGAGGCCAGGAGTGGTGCTAACATCCATCAGAGTATTTGCCAGGGTATTTAACACACACCATGGCAGCAGTGTGTAGTACACAGCATCAGCTCGGGGTCACACAGGAGTCAAAGTAACAAACTGTGTCAAACCAGGTCAGTAAACTGGAGGAGACTCAGCTGTAATCAGATCCTTAGTCATCATATTATCATCGGCTGAGTGTAACGATGACTTACACCAGGATTAGCACAACAACACCCCTCTTTTACAGCTGCTGCTGTTGTTGTTGCTGTTGGATGACTGTAAATCTGCTGCCACTTTATGATAAGGCCCTCCAGGTGTTGGAGACGCTGATTCCCAATTCTGTCGTTAAACTCCGACAGACTTTTAGGAACAATCTAACTAAACTATTCTACTGTTTACCCATTTGTATTGCAGTGACAGCGCACACATATTGTCTACTACTAACGTTTAAAAAGCCATTCATCAGACAGATTAAACTCAGAAATTAGATCTACCCCCCTGTAGCTTTTCATAAACAACATCCCTCATGCGGCGTTAGACAAACCGCTCCATCTGCATCGATCCCCAATGAATTCTTTACTCTGCTGCCGCCCTGCTGGAGTGTGACAAGGTGGTAAAATATGATGTGTTTGCTGTCAGCATGGCCATCACTGTGTTGGCCTGTGTTGGCCTCACACACACACACACACACACACACACACACACACACACACACACACACACACACACACACACACACATATATATATATATATATATATATATTAGATTTACCTGCCTCATTCCCTCACTGCTGTTCAGCTAATGCACTCCCATTGAATGGAAGTGGCATCCATTTCACAGTGAGGGTGAGGAGGTTCAAGTGAGTGAAAGGGGCCACTCAAGGTGTGGACAATGCCTTCAATATTCTTCATGAAGTCCGTAATGTCACAGATCAGCCCTGAGAGTATGGCCATTCTCTGGAGACACAGTGCTGAGCTGTCAAATGACACAGGCTGAATACAGATGCTGTGGATTTAAAGGACCAGTCCTCAGTTTTTTCTGTCCTTTTAGTTTAAATATTCTTTATTTTAAACATTATATTTGCTTTGAAATTAGAAACAACAAATTGTATCAGTGGTACAATACTGCTTTTAATACTTGTCCTGTGTTTCCATGTATTTCATGATCAAATAAAGGGTTAAAAAACAACAGTACACAGTAAGATTGCTTATTTTCTGGTGTGTCTGGATGCCAATAAATGCAACTAAGATTGGGTTTAAAATGTCAATGCCTTTTAGTGACTGAGGTTGACACTCCTGCTCTAAACCATGAATAGATACAAAAGTTTAAGAATGTTTGGACACCATGGCTCTGGATCAGCTGGGAAACAGAATTGAATTTTTAGTCAGTAAAAAATAAATAACAATATAAACTTATTCAACTTCTGTCAAAACACCACCTTCAAATTGAGGAGATGTGACTGAAAGGCTGAGAGCCGCGGGCGCCCAGTGATGAATGCCAGCTGTGATGTCATATGCAGTATAATTGATGCCAACAGGGAATGCCAACAGAGAGTGTACAGAAGTACGTAGTACTGAGACAAAGTTCCAAAACAGTGGCCATTAAAATATTACATTTTAGGTCAAAAATGTGCTGCAACCCAAATGAAATGTGTAACACAATGGTGAGCCAATACATTTTCTTCTAGTTCACTGCTCTTTTGTGACATGCCAGCTCTGCCTGTCACAAAGTTCTTCACCAACTCATTTCCATGCCAGGCACAAACAGGGCAACAAAGAAAGGATTGAGGAACAGAAAGGGGGGCTCAGCTGAGAGACCGCCATGGGCAGCCATGCAAACATCCCACTCTTTTATGTCTTCCCTCAGTGCCCAGAACAGTGGCACAGTGTTTCTCTGTGCCAGATTCACAGAGAAGGGGAGTCGCCCACGGGGTTATTTATCAGCGTATCCTAGAGGTTGTGCAGACATCGCCCTACATTTGACACAGATTCTAAATGGCTACATCAGCAGACAGATAATCAGTTAGATAAAGAGCAGCATCTTCCATGCCAACTCTGGCTAGAGAGTGAGGGGTGGGTGTGTGTGTGTGTGTGTGTGTGGGGAGGGTGTGCATATATAGAGGTGGGCCTGTGGTCATCCACCATCTCCTCATCACCAGTCTCCAGTCTCACACTACAACAATCCTGCAGCCATGGCCTTCAATGGAACCTGGAAAGCGGACCGCAACGAAAACTATGACAAGTTCATGGAGCAGATGGGTGAGTGTGTGTGTGTGTGTATACAAGACTGAGAGGTTTAACTGCCCTGGTAGGGGTCGTGTGTGTATGACTGCTGTAGTTCACAGTCCGGTGTGATTGTTAAGATAAACCGTCACTTCTTTGACAACAAAAACAACAACAACAACAACAAAATTCTCAGCCCCTCATGGCAGACATCCAACATCTGACTGTTTTTTGGTTTGTTTGTTTTTTTTGTCGTCTGTTTAACAAGGCATTAACGTAATGAAACGCAAACTGGCCGAACACGACAACCTGAAAATCACCATCGAGCAGACAGGAGACAACTTCCACATAAAGGAGTCCAGCACTTTCCGCACCAAGGACATCGACTTCACCCTGGGCGTGCCCTTCGAGTACGCCCTGGCTGATGGCACTGAGGTCTCAGTAAGTGCCCACAAGTTGAGTTTCTGCTGGCCACAACTTATTTATGATTATTCAGTTTTGGACTTTTACAGAAAATTGCTTTTTTTAAAAAGTCTGTCTGTTAAATATGGTCAGCTGAAGTTATCTACTGTACCTCATCCAGACCTGTGAACTATTACAACCAAGAAAAGTATCACCTAAAAACCAAACAATTACACATCAGGACTTTTAAGCTAAAACTAAAAGAACTTACCCATAAATAACTAAAGGTTGTTATTTTAAATTTATTTCTCAAATTAAATAGAAACAAGTTTAGACTGGACTCCCTATGGAAGTGGTTGATGGGTTTTTTCAGATAAACTTAAAAAAATAGGCTTATTGTTCTACATGTGTTTTAAATTTACAGTTACCCAGAAAATAAATTAAAACTGACTAAATTGTTTAAAAACAATTGACCAAAGGTTAAAAGACAGTGAAGGGTAATACATGGTTACATTTCATTACATTTCTTGGTCATGTTACTTAAATGTTGGCCAACCAAAACTATTACCAATAAAAAAAAGTCACAACCCACTGCTTTGGTAGCAACAGTGTAACAACTTTTACATTTTATAAAAATGTTTATATATTGTGATGTTTTATTACTACAAAATGAGGATCAAAATAACAAACATTCAATATAAAAAGCCAGCTAACAATAGGCTAAAATATATAAGAAATCCAATATATATATAGGAAATTAAACTACAAAATACTTCATTCACAATGATCATTCATATAGTTCAAAAGTTATTATACACGATCCTCATTATTTCACCATCTCCCAAAAAAAACTTTGAATTATTTCACCATCTCCCAAAAAAAACTTAAAGAGACAAAGTGTGAGCAGAGGACATTACACTGACAAGTGTGTGTTTACAACCAGGGAACGTGGGAATTGGACGGCGAAATGCTAAAGGGCAAATTCACCAGGAAAGACAACAACAAGGTCCTGACAACCACCAGAACTATGGTGGGAGGAGAGCTGGTTCAGGTCTGTGGGTCCACGTCTCCTACAGCAGGTCAAACTCTGCAGCTCAACTTCTCAGTAACGCCATCATTTCTGTTCTCTCTGCTCCATTCACAGAGTTTCAACTACGAGGGCGTGGACGCCAAGAGGATTTTCAAGAAGCAATAATCCAGAGCCTGAAGACGATTATATTTTTAAATTTTTTTATAAACTGTAGATGACATTATGTGCTATATACTTGTATTGTTCTCTAACAACAGTCCAAAAAGTCACATGAAAACTTTTGGAATTCACCTCAAAATACCTCAACGTGTTGGCATATTTTTAGTAGAAGAATTACAGTCCCTTGTTTGAGTCTGCTGTGCTATAGATGAATTTGTTTATTGAGCCATCTCTCAATAAGGAAAACACCACCTGACACTGTGTTTCTACTTCTTAGAATGAATCATATTGAAAAGGCAAAATTAAAGAAGACCAGAAAAGCTGACTTTTGTCAGTCTTTGAAGTTTTCCAAGCACCTGATATTTTTTTCTCCACATATTTACCAACTTCCTGAATTAAAGAGGCTAACAGGAAAGCAGCTAGTGTCTAAATAGAATACAACACATAAATGAGAGTTCATTTAAAAAAATAAATAGGAATTGAACACAAAAAGCCATTGGTTTGAATTGTCATTAAAATGAAAATGATGATTACAAAAGTGCATTTTGTATTATTGACTGTAATGTCTTACTGTTATGACTTTGTAATGTTGGGAAGCAGGCAGGAGCCAACGGCAACACCAGAGGGACATGGAAGTTTATTTGGAAAGTCAAAATATCAAAAACTCACTGGAGCAGGAACAACAGAGAAGCAGGTAAAAAAAATCATGAACACAGGAGCGAGGGACACAGGACGGATCACAGGGAAACAATGACAATGACTAGTGTCCAATGAGCTGACCAGCACTGAGTGAGGGAGAGAGGCACCAGGTGACAGGAGTTAGGGTAATGATAGGAACACAGGTGAGGGTGATGACACTGATTAACCCCACACTACAGACACAGCAGGAGTGAATGAGGACAGACAGACAGGCGGGGCTGACACTTACTGGGTCAGCCAGAAAAAGTCAATACACAGACCATGTGATTTATTTTTTAATTATTTCTTCAAATTTGGGGAGTCACATATTATTATCCAATGACAGTAGATTATGAGAGAAAATGTAAAGAAATAAAACCAAAAACAAAGACATTAAGAGATCAAACTGATCTCCAATGGAAGCCACTGACTCCAGCAGACTACTTCTACTTCTCACCTTGTAAAATAAAGCAGTTTATTTAACTAGAACAGCATAGCTCTTTATTGCCACTGTTGCAGGAACAATGAAAAACAGTTTAGAGTAGTAGAAATTAAATAGAAACATCTCTTTATACAAACCCTACTGCATAAATAATATTAATTTTATTATTACAATAATATTTTAAGTAGTTTTTGAGCCTTATTATGCACAAAAGTATTTTATTTAGCATTATTTACATTGCATTCTGTAGAAAACAAAACGAGTTAGACGTCGTTATATATCTCTTTGTGTGTGTGTTATAACAATACAAACCTGAGTGAACTTTGATAAATCAGATAAGCTGTAACTATATCGATGTGATGCAATCAAACTACTTCCGGCGCAGATATTCATTCATTATGACCCAGCTCAGAGGTCAGCGTTTACTCCTTTATGGACATCATTATATTGTAATTCCAGTCCATAGATGGAGAGAGAGATTAGATGGTGAGAAGATAACACATTACACTGCAGGCTGTGTGATCACATGCTGACAGCGGCTGTGTCATGTGAAGTGGTGTCCGCCGCCGACGGCCAGAACAACACGCTAGTGAATATCACACGACAGGACTGTTGAAAATGCTGAGAATAAGGACGTTCTTTCATTGATAAAAACACCAAGTAGCTCAAAGCAGCTATGAAAGGACAATGGAGATTTCACTGGTAACAATAAAAGGTGGCCACTAGATGTCGACATATGCCTATCTGTTTCTGCACACAAGAACGTCGATGGACTTTTTGACTGTAGGATTGTATGGAAGCCTATCTCGACCAAAATATGTTGAATAAAAACTATACATGACGTCAGCAAAACACAAAACTAAACGAGTAAAATGAAATGTATGATAACGTATAGCTACTACAGGAATTCCATTTTTACTGGCCATTCGGACTGGTGTTGTATTGGTGATATTTTAAGGAATACTTGGTCAGAGATACTACAGTAGTCATAGGTAGGATGAGCTGGTATTCATGAAGAAGTGTAGGACCAGGACCAGTATTTGTGCAGTACTTATTTTTGGTTGGTTCTGTGGTTACTTGTGATCTTGGTCACTTTAATACTTTACCTCCTAGCAGTAGTAGTAGCAGCAGCAGTAGTAGTAGTAGTAGTAGTAGTAGTAGTAGTAGTAGGACCTACTAGTAGTAGAAGTTGTTGTTCTGATTGCTAAGGTCACTGGGGTCAGGTGTGTTGCTGAGGGGGGCGTGGTCTGTGCAGTCCACGTCATTGTTGTGCTGTTCTGCAGCAGACCTTACTTTATCTATCACTTGGTGCAGTATTTAGTTAATTTGTTAATTTGGTGTACTCAATGGCACCTCCTGTGGCAGCCTGTGTAAGTTACGAAGATTCGGTGAAATTCCCCATTGTTGGGCTAATAAGGGATTATTATTATTGTTGTTGTAGTTGTTGTTGTTATTATTATATTTTTATTATTATTTCTTTACACTCCAAACAGCCATTAACTTCTGTTCTTCTCCCAAACAGAAACATCGATGGGCTAAATATCTAACACAGGGAAACATCGGCATGTAGACTAAAGGGACCAGTAATAGAGGCCCTCACCTTTAACCACTATCAGTTAAGTCATTATGGTGTATTTTTTATAAAAGTCTAAAGATCAAATACTGAGAGTGAACTTGTTTCTAACTGTGCAGTTAGAAACATTCTCATCAATATTCGTTACCAAATAACAAATCTAATAAATGAATGCAGAATAGCAGTGCCTTTAAAGTCTGGGGAAGTACAGATCACGACCCCCCGCTGTGGCCCTGAGTGGCACGCACTTTCATGGCGGTATAAGCCCGGCACGCACTGCACTAATCCTGCAGAGGCAGAGCTGCTTTGAACATCACTTTACCCTCGGTGCAGTGAGAGTCCAGAGAGAGTCTTCACACACTGATTAAAGTGGATCGATGCTCCATCTGACGGGGCAGCGGTACCTGCAGAGGCGTGTCCTGCTTCATATGAGCTACATTTATTTTGACAAATGATTTGATTAGATACTATACTATCAGATAATTCCTTGATTTTAAAATGTCTCTTCTGCCTGTTTAGACAAAAATTTGATTTTTAAGGATATAGTCTAGGACAAATGCAGGTAAATATTGGTCTTTAAAAAAAAATGACCCTCTTATTTATCCCACATATGTGTCTAATTCGTAAAGGGTTAAACAGTTTTGTTTGTTTTTTTCAGTAATTTAAAATCTGTGGATCAGCTGTCAACAAGAAGAAAAAACTAAAACTAAAAGACAGAATTAGTAAAGGAGGACGAAGAAGAAAGAATAAAGATGGAGAGGAAACAGGAAAAGAAAACAAGACAAAAACAAAGAAGACTAAGAAGTAGCAAACAAAGAAAAGAAAGATGAAGAAGAAAAATAAAAATGGAACGATGAACGAAAAGAAAAACAGGAAGAAGGATAACCAAAAGTATTGAAATTACCCAGAGAAAAATGCTGTAAATCATGACGTGTTTTACATAAATACAAATAGCTTTACTTTGGAAATGACACAGGTAACATGTTAGTAAGTATTTGTCCTTCAGTGCTGATGCTACGTACTCAACATACTGTACATGGAAGTAATTTGGGATTTGATGTGGAAGTTAATTTAGTTTATTTAAACGGTGGCGTGAACAGAAAGGTTACCCAGATCAGACTGTGACTGCTGTGAAAGATAAATGTGAGAATTATTCTAAATGAAAGTCAACGTGTCGAGCAGTCTTGGCCCTTTCTGCTCTTTCTGGCGGTTGCAAGTTGTAGTTTTTTCGCCACTAGGTGGCAATGATAATATCCAGACTCTTCAGTAGAAAAAGGCCTAAGTCATCCTATGATGTCATCTTTTGTTAGGTTATCATATGACACATGGTTTTGAAGTCACACACAGTAACACGGTCCCGATCCTGACTCCAGTAGTCCAAATGATATCAGCGTGGAGCCGGGGAGTGGGCTGTACACACATGAGAAACAGAGAAGTGCTGGGAGAGGGGGCTCGATGTGTTTTGATTGGGCACTGGGGCCTACCTTAGGGAGGGTGAAGATGAGGATCACGGAGAAGCAGGAAGAAGAAGAGGAGGAGGAGGAGGAGGTAAAAAACCTTAAGAGGTTGACAGAGAAATAAGGAGGTAGTAAAAGGAGCAGGAAGGAGATCAGCCTCCTCACCCTCCTTACCCTCCTGCTGTGAAATAAAACTCCTTGACTCACTGAGGTTTGAGTTAAAGAAAAAAAAAAAAAAACCTACCTAACTATCACCAAATACCCCAGCCGCCCCACAGGGAGTGTCATGGATGTTTGGGTTGGGTCATGTTTCCAAGAGTACAGAGCAGCCCCCTCTTTTTGAACAGTGACTGCGCAGACTTGTGCAGATGCTGCACAGACTGCTGGAGGATGAGTCACCGGTTAGTCAGGCTGAACACTGTATCTGAGCCTTTTCAGATGCCCAGACGCTCGGGGATTATCTGGGACTCGTGCTCAACTGTACACGCAGCACTATTTTTAACATAATGAAATATTTCCACAGCTATCAAACTGGTTCCCAGGACTTTTCTTCTTGACATTGTTTCCAAAGATAAATGCCTGGGATCTGGGTCATAGTTTGGAAGGACCAGGATGTTGACGACAACTACAGTCTGGTCTGGTCATTTTGTTCAAGACATTGCTCAAACACACTAAGGTTGTCCTAATATAACCTATTAAACCTCAACTAATATGATAAATATGATACATACACACACACACACACACACATATATATATATATATATATAAATATGATATATATATATATACTGTATATATTTAGAGAAGCACACACACACATATATATATATTCACATACAAACATACAGTATATATAGAGTAAATACATCTATACATATGCATGTATGTATATACGTGAGTGTGTATTAATATACACATACATAAATACATATACATTAGGGCTGGGCAACTTAATGAATTATTATCATGTTAACTCATTAATTAAATATTACCAACAATTTTTAACATTGTGCACTAACATTGTTTTTTTTTAAATAATTTCTTTCATTATTGTAGACGTCTGTTGCTTTCTGCAGCGGCGCTCACAGGAACCAGAACAGAAGAGAACTGACCTTTCACAAAACCCCACCCCAAACGGTCATTGTCCAGTCATACATCATAGCAACCGTTACTATGTAAATAAGATCTGACTAGCTGGACCTCTGACAAGCAAAATGGTGACGCTGTATTTGATTTCATCACAAATTCTAAGTGGAGATTTAAAGTAAATATTGTATTTAACTGCTGACTGTTTACACAACAATGAGATTAATTGCTATTAATGACTTCCTTGTAATTAAAACTTTTAATCATTGCCCAGCCCTATACACATATATACCAGTTGAAGTAACTCACTTGTACTAAACATTTTGGCTTGTGTTAGGTTAGATAACTAGGTGAAGATGTTTTCAAGATATTGGGAACATTAAATCCATGAACTTAGATTTTTGATGATGAAAACACAAGGCAGTGTGTTTGTGTGCAACAGTAGCCGAGCTGGACATATTTAAATCAGGTTTGTCCAAATTAATAAGAATTAAATAGCAAAGCTCTTTTTAACTCTTATTAATTTGGACAAACCTGATTTAAACCTGATTTAAACATTCCAATTTGATCAATTTGGAATTTAATATTAGCTGTTAGTATATATTTAAAAAAATCATGCTAGCAGTAATGAAAGTCTAAAGGAAGGTGTGAGTGAATACCAACAATGACACCTCTTAAATGGACTGGTTCAACTGGGACAAAAGGATTTAACACGTTTTTCAAAAATCCCTATTATAATCCCTATTTTATTTTATATTATTATTAACATGTCTCCAGAGCTTCATACGTACAGTAGCCCTTCTCATAGAGACACATTCTTTTTAGCCACCACTTTTCTATGCTATTACACCAAGTGTGAAAACTCCTGTTCACGGAGGAGTGATTGACATGTGAGAAGCTGATGTGTGCCACCTGCTGTTAGTGCTGAGAAAAAAAAGTAGTAGATGGTGAGGAAAGCGAGAGAGAGAGAGCGACTCCATTGGCTGAGGCCTGTGTCTGAGGCGTAACAGAGGGCAGAGCGAGGTCAGCAGCTCCCCTGGTACACAGACCACTTTATAAGAAACCCACATCATGTGTCTGATGGTCCTCTGGGATGGAGGGGGGTGTGTGTTATCCGATGACAAGTGCGAGAGAGGAAGAGGATATTAAGAATTTACACAGCGGATGTCTGTGTGACATCCTCCCGTCTCGGATCCATGTGAAAATGCCAAAGAAGGCCAAACCTGGAAGAGAAGATAAAAAGACTGGAGGACAAAGAGAAGCTAAACTTATTAAACTGAATCATCCTGAATCAAGTCCACATTCGTTAAGGTTCCTTTCATGTCTTCTTGACTTTCCATGGAGTCTAACGCAGTGGTTCCCAACCTTTTTCAGCAGCTCTACACATTCTGAGACAGAATTATTTTTCACATTCACAGCCATTGCTTGGAAACTTAGGTCAACTGTAATTAAAAGACTGAATTCTTGAAGCAAAGAAATTCAATTACAACTCAGCACAATTTCCCCAAAAGGCTATAATGAAGAAATCAACTTAATTAACTTACCTTGCTATGACCCCTCTGCAATAGCTTACTGTAATGCCCCTAGGGAAGGACTGCCCCCCTTCTTAAGAACCAGTGGTCCAAAGTGACACACTACAGTATATACCTGTAAAGTATATTTCTTTACAGTACATTCACTTTACAAACATTTATTTTGACTCATTAAAGGAAAAATAGTCGCTAATAAATGTTTGTTAGCAACGTTAGCCTTTTCACCTCTGTGGTGACCTGTCATTTTACCTAAACTGTGCATATGTGGCAACATTACAGCTGGCTGAATATAGCGCAGAGCTTCAAAGTTGTACAGACCTGTACACTCAAAGATAAACGGTAATTAAACATTAACATATTTTCATTAAAAGTCTTTAAGAGTAGTAAACATGTTTTTTTTTATTATTTTGGTTTGTGATTATTTCTATTTTGTCAGAGGAACACAGCTCAGAACAGATTTAGTCATTAAAATGACTAAGAATATTGTTGTTATGTGGTTGTAGTGTTTTTTTCACAAATCCCTGCATATCCTAATAGTGCTATCTTAACAAAGGAATATGGGTATAAACACATGTAAAATAAAGTCATATTTTAAAGATCACACAATTCCCAAGAATGACCACAGGAACTTTCAGACAGCAGGAAGGACGTTGATGATTTTAATGGCAGATGGCCAAAAATGTCTTCATTTACATGGTCATAAAAACTTCTCATATTAATCATGTTTTTTTTTTTTTTTTTTGTTTCAAACAAACACACACATCTGCGCTTCACTGAAATACAGCTTCTTCTTACACAGCGGCTAAAGTACATAAATATCAACAGTACTGTATGCAGTAATGAAAGAAACGCGCTCGCGCACACACACACACACACACACACATGCTGTGAACATGCTCAGGACACACAGATATGCACACGGTATAATTAAATAAGGTGTATATGTCATTGGAAAGAGGAGGGATTATTGTATTAACATCCAGACGCTTCCGAACTGTACTGATGCATTAAAAAAAAAAAAAAAAAAAATCTGTCCATGTGACAAGTCTGGATTTCACAGTGACCATAAAAACAGCATTTGTATTTTCACATGTTCTGATCAAAAAAAACAAAACAAAAACCAAAACAAAACTCAGAAGCTCTAGAAAGGGGGGAAACGACTACATTAAAATTAAAACACAAACTTAGACTTACTGCAATACCTACAATGAATTAAATGCTGGGCGTCTAGAAAATTCCGAAGCAGAATACCCATAAAAAAACACACACACGCACACGTCATATAAATACTTATAAATTTGCTGCCAATTGTGGCTTAAAAATGTCTGTAAGAGCAAAAAACTGCCTCAAATCAGTCAATATTACACGTGTGCATATTAATATTATTACTATTATAATTCATATTAATTAATTACAAACACTGACTACATAATTCAACCAGGCCTACATGATTGTACGTTTAGCATATATGGATATTTGCTGTCTTTTAGTTGATGTTTCTGGCTAATAAAATCAGACTTGGCTTCATCTGGTACAAGAATTGGTCTCTCTTTGTTGTCACGGAAACATCGACACTTAATGATTTTGTGACATGATCAGGATGTGATTGCAGGCCCAGAATACGCACACTTTTATACAAAAGACTTCCTTTTTAACCCCCCCCGTAACGATGATGTGTATGCAAATTCTGACTTTACAAAAAAGGAGTCGCGCCGACCGGCTAAAAATAGAGAAAAAGACAAAAATGGCTTAAAGTGAAGATCCTTCTGAACTCAAAGAGGCTCTTTGGAGTGACACCAGCAGAGACATGCAGCAAAAAAAAAAAAAAAAGGATTTAACTTGATAAGAAGTCAGATTGCAGACAACAAAGTCAGTCAGAAACCATACGACTCCACTCCTTCCAGTGTAAAAAATAAATGCCTTTGGTCTTCGTTTCTTTGTACTGTGCTGCCAGACAATAAAGAGACGTCTTCCTAATTATAGCAGGACTCAGTTTGTCATCTAGTGCAGTCCCTGGAGTCACACCACTCCTCACCGCTGCGGCCTTACAAACTGTTAATGCCTCTTTTAGCACATTTGATTACTTCAAACTGCAAACCCACTTGGTCTGGGAGTGTTTTAGTTTTTTTTTTTCTCCCCCGGTGGTAGCATCCACGGCTCAGAAGAACCAATGCCCCGCAGACATGGGACTCACACACGAAAAACACGCACAAGCAAAACCAGAATCTACTGTACACACTCAGTATATGGGGAAGGAGCACACCAACAGCTTTGGTATACCACGGTAACTTGCTAGGACAAAAAAAAAAAACAAAAAAAAACAACAAAACAGCAACAACATAAACCAATCAAACTGGATTACAAAAATACCTTTTTTTGTATTTCATTAAAATATCTAAAAAATGTACAGCATTGTTTTCTATTAGTTTTTTTTTGTCTTTTTTTGCAAAGTCATGCTTCAACATGGATTTTAATCATTGTAATAACATTAATATGAATGATATACAGAATAATGATAATTATAGTAATATAATAACATTGTCCAGCAGTGCTTTGGCCACACCTCTGGCCTGGCGAAGTGACCGCGTAAGACGGACTTGTACTCCTGTGATGGGACATCTTCACACTTGCATATTGCAAAACACAAAGAGCTTGAACCTGCTTGTGGGAAGCTGTGTCCACACTCACACAACCAGGGTTGGAGAACCAGACACTATCTGATCTGCAGAACAATCGTCTGAGCAGAACTGTTAGTTGACCATTTGCCATTAACTAGACAGACCAGAAAAAAAAAACAAAAAAAAAACTTGTGTATAATGTGTATTACACTGAAGTACTTTGGAGCAGTGTGAACACTTCAATAATTAAATAATTAATTAGCAATAATTCTGCATTTCAAAACAATAATGTTCAAACATGGCTGTGGCCTCAGAGAGTCAACTAGCTACACCAAGTGTGTGTTTAGCCACACACACACCTTGGTACGGATCACAGAGGTGAAGCCAAAGCACTGCCTGTAAGTCTAGGCTATGTAACAGTATAAAAAGAGAATTAGGAGGAATTTAGGGGGCAGGTGGTTGGGGTTCAATGTGTGATGGAGGCTGGGGTCTAGTATGTCCTTAGGCTGCTGCTGCCTGAGAGACAAGAAGGGAGGAAGGGGGAGAGAGAGAGAGAGAGAGAGAGAGAGAAAAGAATATGAGGGAGGTTGTCATGGCCACAGCACATAAACCTTGTGCACTAATGAAAACACATGGGGATCATGTGGAAGTGGGGCAAAACCACACAAACTTTCACACACCCCATTCCACCTCCAACAAAGACGTATATTATAGTTTGGATAAAACAAAATTACAAATGCAACAAATGTTTTCTCCTTAATTTTTCACTCTGTTGTCTTGTGATGCCAAGATCTCACAACCTTTTATCACATGAACGTCTGAGGCAGTCACATGAATTCTGGGTACAGATGCAACAATCGTCCAATTTTAATTTTTTTTTTTCTTTTTGGTTATTGTGACCTGAGATACACACACGATTCCTAATTGAGGGTATATTTCCCACACACTGCACAGAATCTCTGAATAGTTCAACTTTCAACTGTCAATATAAATAAATAAAGTCTTGTTTAACGGGTCTAATCTGTGTTTATCTGTGCAGTTAAACTGATCATCAACAAACTGTTCATTGACTTTGCAGTTACACTGATCATCGACAGCCAACGTTACTTGCCCAAACGTCAGTTGTAAACCTAATTTCTGCTAATGGGATAACATGCCGCAGGCTGCTAACGTAGCATGACTTTAAACAGCTGCGGTGACACGTCTCAGCTGATTGTCTAAAAAACAGGAAACTCTGATCATGTTGAAAACTAGTTGATTCCAATCACCTGCCAGATGATCGGTGCATCTATTATTCTAGGTTTGTTTGTGTACATTTGCTGTGTGTAATCTTTAACAGTTTTCATCTGCTCATACAACCAGACTTTGACACAGGGATCATGGTCTCACCGACGGTACGCTGCATCAGAAGCTGGAAGTCAGGTCAGTTCTCCTGGTTTCTACTTGGACATGAAAAAAAACAATCAGCAACATCCGTCACAGCCGACCACGACCACCATCACACATCAGGAACCTGCAGAAGACAGAGTGACCAGGACGTTGAGTCAGGTTGATTCAGTTTTAGGGTTGACTAGAAATAATCTGGTCTTGACCACCTCCACAGTTGATACCACAGTTCCCAAAATGCAACAACACTCAGCATCTTATTAAATCTCAGTTTTCAAATCTTCAAACTCCACCAAGGCACAGAGGAAGCCCACACTGAGGTCTACTTACAGTGAGTGATGAAATCAGACAGCATGATGTCAAAGGCTTCTTCAGAATCTCACCTACACTACTAAGAGGATTTGAAAAGTTGAGCCAGGATTCCAAACCAACGATGATTCAGACTTTCAGTTTCGACAGTTTGTCTCCTGACTTCAATTCTAAGCTTTTAAATTAATTTTTTTTCAATCATCGACGCCCTTGTTTGACTTTAACTAATATTCTTCCATGTGCTGCTGTAGTTCTGTATGTTTTAGCTTCTTACGGTGGGACTTGTTTTATTTGTGTATTTTTACTGGGAAAAATAGACAAAACATTACTAGCAACTTTTCTCGTGTTCTTGAGCTCTCGCAATTTTTGTCTTTTTTGGCTCTTTTTTTGACAGATTTTGTTCCTTTTTGCCCTTTATGACATTTTTCTTTCTTCTATTTTTTTATTATTTTGTACTTTTTTTGTTTTTGCCATTTTTGTCCTTTTCAGAATACCTCACTGCCATTTTCCGCTTTGGGAAATGCTATAATGTCTTATAACTTTTTTGGTATGTATTTTTTTGAGCAACACCTCATCATGTTGTCTTTTGTTTAAAAAAATTACAAACCATCTAAGTTCCATGTAACAAATTCCAGCTGAGAGTCCATTTTTCTCACAAACGTCACCCCCATTACACGCTTCAATGTCTTCCCACCATCACCAAAGGTCTTAACCTCGCTTCCACCCGCAGATGTATAACCAAAAATAGACTTCACTCCGAGGCCTTGGTAGATTGAGTCTGTGGGAGAGGGGGAGCAGAGGAAACTTCTTGGAACAATAAGCAATTTGTAAATCAATCACGGCTTTGAAAAATAAGGAGTGAGAGAGACAACACTGTAGCCGTCAGAGAACAGAGATAAGCTGGGAACTGTTCTTCAAACAGCAGCACAGTAGAATTGTATTTTTATTTTATTTTTAAGATTAACAACTGGCCTCACTAATGCCTTGTTGTGCAGTTAATCAACGGTGAGAGAATCGATGTGTTATGGAGCTGCTGGCCTAAGCCGATGTGACACATACTTCCAGACCTTGCATTTAGTTCTGGCTGAGGCACCAAGGCTAGAGATTGGGTTGATCATTGAACATGTCTGTGCAGATTAAGAGACGTTTTAGTGATCTGCAGGCTTAATGTGTTACAGCAAATAACCCAGCCATGATGTGGGATAGGTAAACAGCAAGTGTCGGAGAATGTGGGAGGTGACTGGCTTTGCTATGAATGACTGCACTGTCTCTGTTGTATCTCCGAGGATTCATGTAGCAGAAATTCTCGCTTGTGCTATCAGTGAACATTGATTTTGTGCTGAAGAGGACAAAAGAAGATTTGTTTGAATGTGTACTCAACACTCAATAGTACACGACTCTTACACTTACACCATACAATGTTAGCTCATTAGATAGACTTCATATTTGTCTTTCAGAATTTGTATCTGTAATTTTTGATCGACTTTCATCGATAATTAAGTTGGAGACACAGGTTGTAGCCACTAACAGCTAATGTTTGGTAAAGATTAACATCCTGTCCAAAGTAAAGGCCAAACTAATGGAAACTGCATATTTAAAAAAGCTTTTTTTGGGGGTCATTAGTAAAAAACTCAGGGCCAAAACAGTTAAAACACAATGTTTCAGTAAAGGTTCTTTCCACTAGAGAAATTTAAGGTTTTAGGTCAAGGTGTAGCACAAAAGAGAGTTAGTTGTTGACTTCACTGGTTGCTAAATAATTTCATAATAACATCTTTTTCTGTCGTGAAAAACAAACCTAAATAAAAACTTAGGAAGGTCAAACACAAAAGTTTCATTGTTGAAACCTGTCTTAGAAACTGAAAGGGTTTTTACCCTTTCAGTTTCTACTCCTTGGCTTCAGGGTTTTTCTGCAGGGCAAAAATGTATTTTTCAGGGTACAACTTATCACTGCCAATATAAACACCTTTGTGAAACTGACAGGTCAGGATTGTGGGATAAAGGGTGAAGTTTCAGCATAGCACTCAATTACTGATTTACATGATTTACTGATTTACTCTGTACAATTGTAAAGTACAATATAAATACAACTGCTCAATAATGGCAACAAAGGTTGCAGACTGAAGCACTAAGTACATCTTAAAACTTGGGGAAGCAACCTACATTTTTACAAAATACTTTCAAACTACCATTTAAGGAATTAAAGATCCCAAACACATTTTGATTATCACAACAATGTTTGTAAAATGTATAAAATTAATAAATAAATGTATAAAAAAATCTTATGAATATTAAATTGTTGGGGTATTTTTTTAAAAATAAAAAACTATTTTTTATCCCATCACTGTCAGAGCTGTACAGCTCCAGAAAAAAATGTTTAAATATCCAGTGAAAGTAATAGGTTTTCAATGTGTAAAATTATTGCTCATGTTGAAACAATTTTAATTCCAAATAATTATTGTAAAGAATTACTTTTGCTCGTCCCTTCATTCAGTACAAGTACAAACTGTGGTATAAACAGTTAATTCAGTACACATATCTGCATAAATGAATCTCTTATCGTGTGATAAAACATTGAGAGTAGTAACCAGTCATGATGTTTAAATTGATGTTGTACATAACGTAAACACTAACATTCTGAGTTTTTAAACCAATGAAAACACGTCCGTAACCTGGAGCCTGCCTCCAGGAACGGTTTGTGAAAATGCAAAGCAGCAGCGATTTGTAGTTGTTGAGCTGAACCTCTTTGTGTGGTTCTTACGGTGGTCTACCTGTAGAGTACGGCCATGAAAAGGAGCCCCCATGTGAAGCCCATTTAATCCAGAGAAAAGCTCTTAGGCCCTGAGTGTGTTTCTCACATACCAGTGGTAGCTGCTGATGCTGGTGGTGGCGAACACAGCTGCTGACATGTATCTAGCTGCCGAGACCCTGTGCAGGGACAAGGCCACAGTGAAGCGATTCTTTATTCTTCTGTACATGTGTGTGTGTGTGTGTGTGTGTATACTGTATGTGTGTTATTGTTCAGAGGGGGGGCGCGAGAGAATAAAGTCCCACTTCCTTATTAGAGGGAGGCCCCAGCTGGTTCTCAGCACTCCTGTGGGAGTTAGTCCAACATCGCACAGGAACCAATGGTTCATTGGCCAATAACCCGGAAAGATCCTAGGGGCAGGCAGTCAGAGTGACACACATACACGCGCACACACATACTCGACTGTCACCAGTTCACACACAAGCTGAACTCCCCCACCATGTCTTGTCAGATGGAAAAAGTGGATTACCACTCCCTTCACTTCACAAGCATTTATGTCCAATATTAGGTTGCGTTTGGAAGCAGCTCGGTGCCAGAGCATGAATGTCAACTATAATTCAGCTCCACAAACTTGTAGATGAATGCCTTGCTTAAGCCCCCCCTGGTATTACAATATCAACGGCTTAGAGTAAAACCTATGTAGTAAAAAGTGAATCAAAGGCAGCTATCCCTATTAAACAACAACGCTTCTATAAAGCATTTAATACATTTTATATACACACAGACTATACAGTAGTGACTCAAGTCAGCATAGGCAAAACAATAACAGCTCATTCCTTACATTGTCACCCATTATACTATGTATTTATTTATTTATGGTAAATAAATACGTTTTTGGTGGAGTGAGACAAATTCTGGGTTTTAAACACATTTTATAACACTCATACAAAACCGTCAAGCTAACAGACTTAGATTAAATACTGTTTCAGGTGCAGTGCTGTCTCTTCCCTGCAGAGGGTGTCATGAACACAGATGATGAAAGGGTGGTCTAACTTTAACTTTTTAACTTAACTTAACTTAACTTGAGTTGAGTGTAACTATGAGTTAACTATGAGTTGAGTGTAACGCTGTACTCATGTACACTCCAAACAAGAGGCCAAAAATGATAATGCTCCACTCACGTTTTTAAAAACTACCTGGCAATATTAAAACTTTAAACATTTTGTCAAAAATAAAAAAAAATACTTATGCTATGTACAAACGTAAGTAATTTTTTAACACCAGCTCTAGATTATTTGAATTGCAATACTACCAACTAGAGGTGATAAAAATAGTCAGTATCGCATCATTTCAGAGATTTATTGGCACATGTTCAATAGTTAGGTTTTTGTGCATATTGTGCCTTAATGCATTTTCTTCCTTGACACATACTCACTGTATGGCAGAACAGAGTTTCTGATTATTGCCAGGTCAAAATGATCCTTTCCATGACCGACTGAAAGCCAAGTGACCAGGATAACTCATTACCAGTCACGGCCGAAGAACCTCAGACATTAGTTAACTTCCAGCTGTTCTTTCTCCATCTTTCTCTGTCTCACACACACACTTAAATATCCAACTGTTACAATTCCAGAGTGAGTCACACACTCTGGTTGATGAGTGGTCCCTGTCCTCCAAATGCCAAGATAACCACTGACCAACCACAGTTCTCTCAGGGCCGGGCAGCTCTCTTTGTCTCTAAACTTTCCCATTAGTGTCACCAACTGCCTTCTGCATGAGCCACAGTTCACAAATGTTGGCCTTCTGTCAGTGCAGATTATTCAGCAACAGCAGTCAGTTACTCAGTCAGTTTGTCAGTGCGACAGACTGACTGACTGAATGACAGACAGACAGACAGACAGCTGTGGTGCAACCAGGGAGGTACTGGAGTAAACTCGCTTCAAGTTTGTTCTTGCAGACTTGTTGCTAAATTTATTTCACAAGCCATTCTCTTGTTTTGATTGAAGTGCACAAATAAACAGGTTGGTGCAGATCACATCAGATGGCTGTGTACCAACACTGACTGTATTCGTACAGGACAGATGATGAGCCAAAAACACAAGGTCTGGCTAATGTGTAGTGTGAGTAAAGCTGAACACTGTCACAGTTCATTTCAATCTGAGTTGTTTTTTTAACCATCATAATAAAATACAGAAATCCTTTAAAACTATTTATAACTAAAGTCCAAATCTGGTACATGGGCAGAGATCAGACTTTGTAGTAGTTGGTAAGTTTGGTACAATATGTAGAAATACAATGTATCTGCCTATAATGTAAATTCAAGATGTCCACCCTTTCTTTTAATAACATTTCAAAATAAAAGCACAATCGTAAGTCTGGCATCGTTCATGTGTTTGGATTTTTTTTCTTCATTTTTCTGCTTGATATTTAACATGAAGTAAAGCCCTGGTTTCACAGGGATGAATGTGGGAAAGTGTTTACAGCAGATTCTGAGGTTTTCCACGGTGACGGAGCGACTGTTTTTGGAAAAAGTGTCAGCAAATGTAATCATAATTTTTTTAAAGGCTGTGAGAACCACAGGCCAAATTCTTTTCACCGTAATTGTACTTGAGGATTCAGGAGAAATCAGGGAGGGAAAAGAACTTGAAAATGTGCCTTCAGGAAAGTTGCAGAACACAAGGTAATTTGGAAATCAGGGAGGGAAAAGAACTTGAAATACTGTTAGAACTTGAAATAAACTATACTGTTGTGCAAGCTTGTCTGTGAGATATTATACGTACTGTATGTGGACATGTTACTGCATGTACAAAAACGATATATACGTTTATGTTACACTCTCGTGTATATACAGTATCTCCTGCAACAGCCTGTAATTATCATGACAATCTGCCTGGATGTCTTAACTTCACTTAACCCTCCACCAACAGCCGGATGGAGGGAAATTGTTGTTTCATTCAGGGGCTAATATCCACTTGGGCAACCTGACCAACCAAATGACTTCCTCCTGGTTCGATAGAGTGGTAATTATTTCCTCCAACTCCTCCTTTCTCTATTCCCTTCCTCTTATGTACCTCCCCCCTCACTGACAAAGATGAAAATGCCCAAAAATAACGAATAACCCAACTCCATCTTTATTTTTTTTCTCTGATGCTCTGTAAATAGATATAGGGTTAGAAAGAGACGGCAGAGGACTAGCATCAATCAACAGCTCAACAAACATTAGTCTCCGTGCCATTTTTACCTCCCACCAGCTATGGGCTGATGTCCTCAGGGGTCAGGAGGACATGTTCCTTCCTGTTCCAAGACGCTAAAGGGAGGGTGCTGGTGACAGAGAGACTGGCGCCAAGCACACATGCATGCACTCAGTCAACAGGGACTAGCAGGGGATTTGTTGTGCATTGTGGTTTTGTTTATTTATTTATTTTTTGTGTTACCTGCGAGTACAGCGGCGTTCATTTGCTCCAAACTACACGTGCTGTGTGGCTCAGCAAATAGCTACCCACTGACTTATCAAAGCATTTATTACCAACACCGACACTAGATGTGTAGTCTCTACAGCGCCACAGAAATTATTTCATCTGTAATTTATTTTAAACAGAGCCCCACTCCAATCTATTTTTAATAAAGACTAATAAAAGTGGCCCTGCCAGCAATGTCCAGGTACCTCAGCAGCTCCTGCTGCATATTCCACATTTATGACCTTTCTGAGGAATCTTTCCATGTCCTGCTCTTTTTATAATCCTCCTCTGTGCACTTTGTTACAATACAGAAAACCCCCCTCTAAAAAAAAAAAAAACCACTTTTAAATTAAAAAATGTATTTCATGCTGCCAGGGTTTTGACAAAATGACAAACATGTTTCAATATCTGCTGCAAAGCAACAACATTATTGGACAATATTCAGAGTTTATTGTGGGGTGGGTGTGTTAGTGCATGTGCAAGACAGTAATAATAAAAAAAAATCTTTCCCCTTTCCTCTATAATAATAAATGTCTGGTGGCAGATCCCACACAAAAAATGTTCATTTTAAAGCTTAGTTTATTAGTGAAATTACAGTCAGATCAATAAAACTCCCGGTGTAGCTGTTTCTAAATGAGTAAACACAATTTCTACCTACTTTTATCACTGCACGCAGGAGCACCTTTAAAAGTCTTTTATTTTATCTTTTTTAGTCACATTTGCTGAGCTCTAACTCATCTCTATCATTAAAACTCCAGCATTAGGATTCGTTTTACATTCCGTTTGACTCTCCTCTCTTTCCCCCGTACTTTGATGCACCGGATCAAGCATCACTTCAATGGGAGAAGTTGAGCCTCTGTAGGCTGTGACCACAGCAGGCAAAATAATGTGCGAGTTCTCCTTTAAATTGCAGCTTTCATCTTATGTGTTGGTGCACCAGGGACTGCTGTGGTTTCATTGACTGGCTGGATTTACCAAGTCTGCATTGACTTCTTACTAATTTGTTATGAGTAAGAGAATAGTGTGAGCTCAATGGCAAAACTGAAACATGACTAATAAGATGGTTAGTTTGAACTGTCGGAAAGACCGGGGCCTAGGGCCAAACCAGGGATGACATAAACACTGCATGCATGAGGTAACGCCATGCGAAATTCCCTACATCTGTTTAGAAATATCTCCACGCCTGCTTAAACAAAATGTCATAACATTAACTGAGGTATTTTCACAGCATCGTGCAACGTACACTGCTTTGTGACTGCAGGGCAGGAGGCTGCCTCTGTGTGTTAGTGTTACCGTGTGTGTGTTTAAGTTGTTACTCACACATACTTCAGCAGAACTGCCTGGACTTCCATCCCTGAGGAGTTCCATCTGCAGGTGGGAGCCAACGGATCTAAACAAACAGCGTCACATGTGCATTAACACAGACACACATATACAAACTGCACCTCTTTACACAGTTTGTATTTAATAAGGATTTATAACAAGGAAGAGTATAGAAAATGTGTATCAGTTCAAAGAAAATTCACTGAGAGTTTGAAGATCAGTCAGAGTGCAACGCAGCACATTGCTGTTTTCACAATCCAAATATCTTAATTTATTGTAAATAATTTGCTTTATTTGAAGTAAATAAAAACCAGGACAAGCCGAACTGTGGGCAATTTCACATCTCCTCACAGTCAGGAGGAAGAAGTCAGCAAAATTCCTTTTAATTTGCAGCAGGATATTGTTCGTTATTGGAGGATTGTGAGGTTCTTTTCATTTTGACATTGCCTGAGGATGACTCTCTGCAGCTGTTACTGGATTCTGCACATGCACCCTGTGATCAACTGACCTGTTAATACAACAGTTTAGTGTAATGTATCATTAAAACAGCAATCTCTGATCACGGTCTACAACAGTGGTTTCCAAAGTAAGGAACAGGCCCCTTACTGGGGCACTACTGTAGAGGGAGGGGTGCAGCAAGTCAAATCAATTTCAACTTTTTTTTTTTGTGGTTATTTTATTTTCTTTGTTCAGTTAGATTATGAACATTGTAGGAATTGCAGTGAAGATCACTGGAGTTTTGAACTTCGGGCTTAGTCTGTCTCCATTAATCAGTAAAATAGTGTCACATTGAACCATTACTCTGTGAAGCACTCATTTGGTTTTGTTTTATCCAAGCTCAGTTTTCTTTTCACTAGAGAAAGATTTTATCAGCTGTATGAGTCACAGACATGAGCTCATGTTAACGTCACTTGGATTGGATCATTCGGTCCATAGTGTGATCTCTACCTTTGTAATTTCATCAGCACAGAGTCAAGGGCAAGAGGGATTTTAATAGTGACCACATCCTCTATTGAAATCACAAGGACAGATTTCTTTGTGTGTGAGTGTGTGTGTGTGTCTTTGACTCATGGAAAAACACCAACCAGGCAGATTCACCTCTTTAATATTCTGACATCATCTTAGCTCCAGCTTTGGTGTCTGGGCTAGAAGAATTCTTAATTCTAACAACCTCATATGATGATGTATACCGTATATGAAAATGTATGCAGTGATAAAAGACTGTAGGAGACCTTAGATCTAGTCGAGGTCAGTCAGTCCTAAACAGGCATCATGAGAAGAATTTCAACAGATCGATAAGGAATTATTATGTGAACTCACACTGGAACTGAGGAGCTTATGAGACCTTGATGAACTGAATGGTGGTTGGTGGAAAAGTAGATTTTTAATTAAGAAAGTAGCTGATAGTTAAATGATGATGCAAAGCTTTTAAAGCTGAAGGGTTTGGTAGTGAGTGTGTGGTAGACTAATGTAAGTTGTGTCAAAAATATTTTGTGGTTTAATTGGAAACAAACTTTTTTTTTTATCCTCAAGCGATGGCTCCACAAACTGCAGTCCCAGACTGCAGACCAACCCCACAAGTCAACACAGCCATAGCTACGGCTTCAACACTTTATTTCAATTTAAAACACCATCTTTCCAACAGAACTCATAATCTCAGTGAACAATGAAAAAAAAATTACAAATTACTGCAACATTCCCACTGAGAAAATAAATATTCAAATTGGAATTAATTTGGGTACAACTGTTCTAAATGGTGGGCTATTTAATTTGTCATTTGTGCTTCTAACCACTTATTATTGTGTCATGTGTATTGTATTATTAGTGTTTGAAATTATTTACAGGAAAAACTGCTTAATTTTTCTCTCTCAACAGACAGACGTTTATTGATGTAGTAATGCATATTTATTAAGACTTGAATAACTACATGAGGTTAATGTGTTTCTACGATAATGATAAATACATCTTTTTATTTGAGTCACTTTAAAACCAAAATTACAGCGACTGGGCATCATGTGCAACGAGGTGCACCTGTGCTTGGAACAGACAAATGATATTAGCTGTGGTGGTGGTGGCAGCTGTGTGTACAGTGGGAGGTGAAGAGGGCAGAGATGGTGATGGTGGTAAGGAAAGAAAAAAGGGTGGCTCTGCAAATTACCTGAGCGTGGAGAGAGGAGGGATAGGTGAAAGCGGGTGGGAGGGCCGGCGACAGCTCCGCCGGGTAGAGTGGGTATGATGCCCACACGTCTGGGCTGCTGGGATATAGAGCAGGCACTGTGAGCTCATCTGTGGAAAAAAGAAAAGGAGGAGTGGGGTGAGGAGAGTGGCCGGTGGATGGGAGGAGGGCTGGATAGAGGTGCAGATGGAGGTGGAGGCTGTGCTAGTGACAGTGCAGGTGCCCAGGTGCAGTATCCAAATTCCGTAGTGCTTTTCTCTGATTTGTTACCTTTCATCATTTGACTTTTTGATCATAAATAAAAACAAAGTTGGTCGATCGAGACACCAAAAAATCCAGGTGTGAAAATCATCATGCATTAAAGACCTTTTTAATCAGGCTTAGACATTTAGCCTGAATAAAATCTAGACCTAAATTCAGGTATTTTCAAATTTTACTATTTTAACAACACAACCATATTATTAATTACATAAATGATACATTTATCAACCTTTGGAATGTTAAACTTACTTAAACTTACTTCTGTAGCACTTTTCTAGATAACTCAAAGCTCTTTGCACTATAGGTTTTGTCATCTATTAAGGGGTGGCATCAGTGTTTCCCATTAATCAAAATGTGCCAACCTGTCACCTGTTTGACCAGTGGCGTTGCATGAGTCAAATTTCTGAAGCAGTGAGTGCAACTCAATAATCTTATTATAAGTACCGGTATTCATAGATTTTTGTGCGTCCAATTTTTATTTTTATCTTAATCCTTTATTATTGTATTGTATAATTCAATTTATTACAGCTCTCTGCACAATCGGGGCATGTCGCAATTTCCATTTCACTGTCATTGACTGTTGTCAATGGCATGTCACAAATAAAGCTTCTTGGCTCTTTATTCTCAGCTTGGACTCCTCATAGACAACACAGTGTTGAATACACACATTAGTGTGTTTTCAACATTCATTCACCACCAGGGGCGCTGTTTCACACATCATAAAACGAGAGAGGAGGAAACAAAATGTCATTGTTATTCCTAAAAAAGTGAGAAAGCCTGGTCTCCGCCACTGCATTTGACTATATAATATGATATGATATAATAAACAGTATTTCCTTTATGTATCCTTTATCCTTAATTAACTACTAAAAATAAAAAGCACTGTATGTGCGGTCTAACCTGAACATTGTTTATATTGCTGCAAGCACTATTCTTTTATATACATGTAATGCATTACTGATGGAACAGCCCTAGAAGCAGTAACTGATATCAACTTATTGTCATTATACGTAGCTTGCATATGTCAGGAACTGAACTAATGTTTTAGTCATTGAGTCAAATGTAACGCGAGGGTGAAGTAAACAAGTGTAAAAGTGTGCTCAGTGAAGAGGAATGTACGATGGTGCAGAATGGTACAGAGTGGCTGTAAACAGTCAACATCAGGCAGCTGTGTATTCTGGTAAATGTTGATCCGGCACAATCAAGGAAGAAATGGTTGATTTCCGTCTTATCAGGACATGACAGCAGTTTCTCTCTTGTCGATCTAGATATGGCTCCATTAATCATTTCCTTCTATTTTCCCCATGTTTTTTATATAGACACATCCTGTCCCATTGGTGAATAGCAAAAATCCAAGATAAGAGCAGTTTGGTAATTCACAAAGAATTTACAACAACAGCTGGTCAGCATGCAACCATTAGCCAATCGCTGTCTTTGACAGTACAGTTAACATCTTGGAAAAATATTTAACGAATAAGGAATGTAATTCCAGAGATGAATGCTGCATTAGTCAATGTCTTGTACATACTGTATCTGGTACTTAAAAGTTCTTGGGTCTAAAATATATACGAAGAAAAGGTCAAGTACTAATCATTTGATGTCTGTCCAGCAATGATATTTTAACAGCGGAACTTTAACTTGTCAGCTAAAGGTGCTAAAAACCTAATATCATTCAAAAATGTTTACCTTAAAACAATGGAAAGCACCATGTACAGGACAACGTTGCAAAAAAGTGATTACAACAACAACAACTACAGAATTTCCTTTTGCTGATCTCCATTGTTCATGCACACAGCTAAAGCATTAACACTCCTCTGCTAATGATAGAAAAAGGATCCTAAAAGGAAACAGCTGTCCAGTTACCTCAGACAAAAGAAGCTAATGACCAAAGGAAGCAGCAGCAGCAGCAGCAGCACACTCAGACAGTAAAGGGGAGAGGATTCAGGGACAAACCACTCACATGGGTCTCTGCTGATGAACTGCGGCCCAGGGCTCTGTTGGGAGGGAGGGGGGTTGGGAGTGCCGACCAGCTTGTTCTTGGCCATCTTGGTGTTGGCCTTGGCGAACTCCAGCCGCAAGGTTTGGGGGATTTCCGGATCAAATCGGACCCCCTGAGCAAAAAGGGAAAGATAAATCTGTTTTGTTTCCACGTCCATACACAAGGCGGAATTATAGTTGGATTAAATCATCAGAAAACATACAAAGATTTAATTTTCTGTACTTTGGTACAGACATAACTAGATTAGCATAGATGAAATTGAACTTTATTGATCCCACACTGGGGAAACTAGCACAGTTTTTATAGTTCTGCTCTACAATAATGGTCTTGCATCCTAACTTTAGAACATCTTGTAACCTAGATGTTAACATCTTCCTATATATACTGGTTTACGTACTGCTTTATATTGTCTTCAATGTCTGTATCGTCACACTGCAAGTCAGACAACACATGTTTATATAGCACTTGACCAATCACATCCATTTTGTTTTTAACAATGAACAAATTTGTTTTTTCCATTACGTTAAGTACATTTGCTTGTAATTTCATTAAGTCATTTTGTTATGATGTACATATTTACAATATATATAGTTATATTTATGTATAAGTCTGGTCTAGATTTTTTTTTAATGATGTGTTTTATACCTTTTTTTTAATTATGTTAACATTTTTGGGGATATTGTAGTTTGCAATCACCAATCTTAATCAGTTTTTACAACATACATTTGATCATTTCTAATATAATCATGTAAACTTGTTTCCAGTTATTTGCTTTGTTAAAATGTCAACAGTTTGCTTACACACTTACTGACCACCACCTGCTCTTAAAGTAATTTCATTTATTTTGTGTAATAGTCATTATATCATTTCGCACATAAGAAAAATGGGTTCAGGTAATAAATCAGATATATATGTTCTAATACAATTAACTGAATTAGTGAATCTTGAACAACTGAAAACTTTAGCATGTTTTACTGTTTAATTTGCTTTGTAGCTGTATACCAGTGTACCATTGATACCTCAGTATTCTGAGTTTTGCAGTCACCTTAAGTTTCTTGGAAGCAAGATAAATATGGCATCACATGAGGTTCAAATGAGTGTGTGTTAGGCCAGTGACTTTACACATTACATTGCGGCAAGTTCAACTGTGTTTAAGCGTCAGTAGCTAAAGCAGACGACGCAGTGATGCTTGAAACAGAGAGGTTTGCTGTTTTATACTTTGAAGTTTAGAAGAAAACAGGAGAATGATGTGAAGCTGATTATGGTGTATTTCCTCTGCCTCTTCCACATTTACATTCTTAGCCTGGCTGTGTGTTGTCTAAATGTCCAGTGGGACTTGGCTGACTTCTGGAATTGTCACTTTGTATTCTTTTCATCTTCCAGACAACGTTTCCTGCCAATATCTTGGCATCTGCTTAGACTTTGAAGCTGGCTGTGAAGGACTCGCTGCGGATTACAGTTATTATTCTGGGTCAAGCCCATGTAGCAATGGATGACACCCACAGCTGTAAAACAATATCACAGCCTGATGACACAAACCTGGCTTAAGTGTTGTGTCGTTTAAACCAAGGGCAGATCCCGGCTGAAGTATAATATGATATTACAAATATTACAAATGTAAATGAGCATCACTGCTACAAGTGAGCCAACTATTCTGGTAGATTCTTCGGATGCTGACGCTAAGAGCTAACACACAAGTGGAAACTAAGTGGAGGTTGTTTTGCCTATCAGCACGTGTCCATGTTTTTGTTCCGCATTAGTTTGTCTTTACGGGAAAATAAGGAATGTAATTAAAAAAGGCCTTAAATCCAAACTTTAACAGACAACCTTTGTCTGTTGATTAAACCGTGACTTAGCTCCAGTCCCAGTTTAGAGTCAATGTGATGAACTAATTTTAGTTGACTACACATGAATATTTATATGCATGTGTATTTCTTTATGTGTACACATACACAAACACATACGTACGTATACATATTTACGGTGTGTATATATATATAAAATATTTTTATATTATGCTTTTATATTTAAAAGTATACATATAAACATAACACAAATATATTAATATCCATATACAGTATTGTGTTTTGGTCATCCTACAGAGTGTTGGGGCTCCTAGATTTAGCCGTGTTTATTTTACTACCCTACATACATTCACTATGACTGGATCTCGGTTTACATGTCCTTCTTTCTAGCAAACAGCTCTGGTCACCTCCCACCTTCATTTGTTAACCCAGGTTAGGTCTCTGTCAGTGTGATCAGACTCTTCCCATTTAGTTTCCCTTGTAGGATAGAAGGTTTGTGATTACATCTTGACTAAACTTTGTGAAGTGAAAAAATTAACACTGACAGAAAACAAAGCTGTTGTTTGTTTACTTTCCTTTAAGGCAACAGGATAGGAAGAAATCTACAGTCAACAATAAACATTACATCAGTAATCCTGTCTGATTGCCTGCAAAGAACAAATAGTAAAATGGTTCAGAGGAGCACAGAGTTCTCTGCAGTATCAGAGTGAGAAGCTGCAGGGATGAGGTTCTCCACTCGTCCCTCTAGGCCTTAAACAAAGCTGCGCTGAAACAAGCGCGGGATGACTTCTACTCATGGAGGAGAAGGAATTAACTAGGATTGCCTCGGCTCAGTGTGCTCACAGCTTCTGTCAGTCGAAGCTACAGGGTTATAATAATGCACATGCATATAATGAGGTCTGATCGAACCTCAGTTTGAACAGCACTGATTTTTTTTTCCACCTGCAACTGTGTGAACTTCCTCATACACAATGTTGTACTGGCAATCAACCTAGATCTGAGTGGTTTAAAATATCAAAATGAGAAACTCACTTTCAAGAAGTGCTCCTTTATTAAGAAATATATGGCTTGGCTTTTCTTTGATGAAGTGCAGATTCATAATGCCAGTTTAAAAAACAAATATGACCTCTGCAGCATTAACAAGGATATGCAGCATTCAGGCATTCTTGGACTTTAACACTTTTGTAAAATGGAAATATAAGCCGCAGCGTTACTTCTGTAAAAAATACAGTAACGTTTGCGAAGTACCATGACAATGAAACAAATCTTACAGATAGATGTTTGCAAACTCTGTCTTTTTTTTCTGTGCCACTCCTGGGAAAAAGTTCTATCCGAAAACAAGAGCAGTGTTTTCTCAGCCGGCTGACTAATTCTGTGCAAAGTCTCATGATTGTTGGCTCCTTAATCAGATGATAATTTTAATCCTTTCTCCTTTTCTCTCTCACTTCTTCAGTTCTTTGCACCGTGTTTGATTTATTTTATATCTAAAGATTGACAGACTTTTTCACATCACAGCATTTCTGTTTAGGGAACATATATAAAAGAATGCTTTTTATTTGCCGCAAAAAGGTGCACAAAAGAAACAATGTAAATAAACAAAACAATTGCTGCTGTGTATTGACACTCTTTATTCCAGAAGCCCTGTTAGGACGGGTCTCTCTTTAAGATCTGAACCTTCCTCATCAAGGCTTTCTGCTGAGCTTCGCTCTGTCCCAGATCAACGTTTCCTACTTATACATTGAGCAGCCAATTTCCCTAATGACCTTGAGGAATCATGAGCAACCTTCAAGAATGAAGCCCTATTTAATGGACCAGCTCAGTTTATGTAGAGCAGCCTCTAAACATGTCTACCCACTACTTCCTTTGGCTGTAGAAATATTTGGATATTCAATTCATTTTTACTGCAAGTGCATTTTATTTAGAAGACAGCACGACCCATTTTCATGTTGTCAGCGCCAAGCTGGTGCAGGAGAGGAGAACGGTAAAAAGGGCATGACACTTACGTTCAAGGCATTCTTGGCAGCCTCCGCCTCTGATCGGCTGTCAAAGCTGACAAACCCTACCGGCTGGGGAGACAAGGAGACAGAACAAAAGAATAAGAAAACAAGGTTTAAGGCAGAAGTCTGAGTCTGCAGTTCTGTCTAAGTGCCACAGACATGCTTTTTTTTATATATACGCATGTTGTTTCATATCTTATTATAACAGCCCCCCTCCTTCTCTGCCCTCCCCTCTCTCTTCTGTTTTCCCCCTATTAGTTTGTAGAGGGGAAGGAAAACAGAGGCTGGATGCTTACTTTGTACAAGTAGAGTTCATCCTTCAGCTCTCCTATGACCAAATACGGGCAATGTCAGAGCCGGAGAGTGCAAGAGAGTGAGGCAGAGTAAGGGGGAAACAAAAAAATGAATACAGTGAGAGAAAGGAGGAAGGAGAACTGAGCAGGGTCGTGAGAATATGTATTTAGAGTTGAACGGTGAGTATTAATCAAGGAAACGTGACGCGAAACCAAGACAGCTAAAGACGTTGTAAAGTCATATCTACTTTATTCCTGCTTCCTTTGTGCTCAGGTGGTTTAGGGAAAAAAAGGACGTGGACGTCTGGCTGTCAGATTGTTGCAGATTGGAACAAAGAGTAGACATTCTCTGTAGCTTTTTTGTGTGTCAGGAAGGGGATGTTAGGAGATGGCAGGCTGAGGAGAAACTGAAATCTCTAAACATGTTGCTCCCTCGAGGCTGCACTGCAGTGTGTGATCTGGAATAAAGTAGTCTAGGGTTATGGGAATTTTGAACAAGTACTGTGAAGAAGAGGAGGAGAAGGGGGAGGAGGAGAACACGCAGGAGGAGGGGGTAAAGAGAACAGAAGAACAACACCAAGAAAGAAAGACGGCCGAAGTGAAGACGTCAGGCTTGTGAAAGTGTAACATGAATATAAATAGAAAGGGTCCGACTATAGCTATATAAGGAGTGTTTTCTGGGACTGAAAACGGATGAAGATCAATTTGATTTATGCCATCATCGTCTCCGCCATTAGGCTAGAAGACCAAAAAACACCCCGGAATCCAATTGAGAGTGAGCATCAGGTGACACAAAAGGTAATTATGAAACCATGGTGTGAGATGGACTGCGGCGAGAGGCCAAAGTGCACAGAGATCCGCTGAGTGTCTCATATATTCATTAAACAGGTGCAAAAGGGAGAAGCAGCAGCAGAAGAAAATCTTCTTTTGTTTTAATACATGTGGGAACAGCTGCATGGGTGAGGGCCAATGAAGACAACAAAAACTGATGAATATGTACACTGTAATCATGGACCTGGTGCTGTGTTGTCTGTCTAAATCAGCAGACTATCCTGGCTTTGGTATAATGGCCCAGACCCTGGTCCAAAGATTCTATATATACCCTTAATGTTCAATCTAACTGTTCTCAATTGAACAATAAGGGTTTATATTTAACACTATATCTTATATAAATATACATTTATAAAGATATAACGCGTTTCTATTTTTACATTTACATTCTCAGCTGTTAGAAAATATAAATGTACAAATGAACTTGTGCAACATGGACGACTTCCCTTTTCTAAAATATTTAAATTTTCTCACAGGAAAATCCACCCCTGTAAAAGTAGACTGAGAAACATGAGGCACATAACAAAGATAATATAACCAAATGTGTTTATAGGCAAACATCACAATAAAATTGAAAAGGAATATAATTAAAAAATCCTGGACCAAATGTTTCGATTCACTACATTGTTGTTTTTTCTCATGTGGAAAACATCTTACCTTTGTTCCAATTTTGGAGGTATTACACTAAGCACATTTACTTCAAATTGCCCAAACCCTCCTAATGAGTATGTCACGTCTTTGTGGGAAACGCTGTAATCTGGTAATGGGTACAGTGACATGCAGCTAAATTGCTGAATGTGGATGTGGACACCTGCCAGCTGAGCTCATTTTCGGGCCTCAGATCCCCAGAGGCAAAGCTAAACAGTCAGTATAGTTTTTTTCAAAACCTCTACTTTAACACCTCAAAACTTCTTCCTCTTCAGTCTGCAGTAGACTGTCTTCGACTAAAAGTGCAAAGGCAAGTTTCTTCGCCCATTTTCCAAATAAGTTTACCCAGTATCCTAGGCACCTCCTGACAAATAGGTAACCCATCCTTCATAATCATTAAGAGAGAACACAGAGGGCTATAGAAAGGAGGACAGACGGCAGAGGAGACAAGACTAGTTTGACGTGGTGTGTCTGGATGCATACCTGTTTGGAGGTGAGTTTTATCAGGGAGCCTTCATAACCCTGGAAGAAAGAATGACAGAAAGACCAGCAGTGAATAAAGGTTTTTCCACTATTGGCTAATGTGAAAATAAAGTGAGTCTGATCAGTCCCAGAGGTAACACGGAGCAAAGAAATCTCTATAAGATGTTGCAGATGTTTGATCTTGCTAAAGGTTTTGTAAGATTTCTCTAAAAGATTACACTTCATGTTATCTTTCTGTTCTTTTTAATATAATTTCAGTTTTGACTGTAATGATAAAATAACAACATAAATGTTAGAAAAACTGTTTCATTCCAGTGTAAAAGGGAAAATGTTTGTTCCGGGAAGTCGGCACATCCCAGTGAATGAGCAAAGTTTTTTATTTTTTATATTACTGTCCCTATAGTGTACAGGAGTCATTTATCTGAAGGTAAAGGTCATGTTGATTTGGTTATTTTTTATTTTAAAAGATACGTTTTCTTTTGGCATTTTTAGCACAAATTATAGACCTGGTAACAGAAACTTTACAAAATTCACAGTTCAGTTTGTCTTTTTTAATAGTCCATGTATTATCATGTTAATAGTGTATTACAATTGCTAAATGTATTATCATGTTAATAGTGTATTACAAGATACATATGCAGTACATACAAATACACAAATTTTGTAGAGATTATATAGTTAGTTGCACATATGGTGTCTAGTATTTAGAAACGTTTTAGCCAAATTGCTGCATTTTGTTGCAAATGTAATTGCCTAAAATTGTTATTTTTGGGGAGTTTTTATAAAATACCTATTTTGAGGTTATTTGACAAAGATTATACATTTATGTGCACAGAATGTCCTAAACGTGCAATTTGAGGCATTTATGTTTTTTTATTTTATTTTGGCATTTTATTACACAAGCCCATTGTAAATCATGGCATTTTATTACACAAGCCCATTGTACATTGTACACTGTACTTTTTCTGCCACTATTAACATCCCATAAAAAGACAAATTATACAGACTGGTGCACATATTAAGGCATAAACCTTTAGGCTTTTCTTAGTTTTTTGCCTTATTTTAAAATTGTAGACATTTTGGGGACAAATTATAGGGCTAAGTTACTCGCATAATATACGAGTATAAGCTTTGAGCACACTTCTACTGGTGGATTTATATTTACTTTTGTTTTTTTGCAGAAGCCTAAGTATTTTTCTTTTTTTTCTTATTGCAAGAGATTGGGATATAATCCTTAAACAAACTCACAATGTTACATCAAACTTCTCATGGCCTGAGGTATCAGGCCTATTAGGCAATCAATAACTATTAAATTCTTAACTGCATAAGAAAACTACATACAGAAAAACAATATATTAAATTGCATCATTTTGTCTTAACCTGATAAATCCCTGCCTTCTCCACTCATATCATACATCGTATGGAAAGCCCACCATAACTATTATCCAAGAATGAGGTGAGATGCATAGCAATTGCCACATCATTCACCCTTCTGGGCTGCAGTTCCTGTTGCCCTATTAAAGTGCATTACTCCATTACGCTGACAGCACTAAGAGCCTGTGTCATACATGCACCTTCACTAAACTAAACTGTGAGGATGCTTGTGCTACGACAAAAGGAAGGCTCAGATGTTAACACAAACAGCTTTTGTTTTTCGTATCACGGGAAGTGAGCCATTTTTCCATGACACACACACACACGTACACCTAAGCCTCTCATGGATCAAGATGTGACTGAGCTTGAGCTTTAGGAACACAGACACAGACACTTGAACCTTGCAGGAGAGTTTCCATAGCAGTTTATTTCATCACCATTAATGGAGGTCCCATTGACCGCTGGAAAGAAAAAGCCGCTAAAAATAGCTGAGGCCCAGCCACTTTAAAAAACATACAAACATACCTTAAATGGTCTAAACAGGAGGTAAAGCTCCCTCGGCTTAATATCCAGCGGCAGCCCACTGACGAATAGCGTTCGGACCTGAGGAATACAAGAAGGAGATCATGTATTTTTCATTAACCTTCACCAGTTATTAATAACCACCTTGCATACCTGACAGTAAAAAGATGACTTTATGAGGAAGAGAACGCTGAGCGTTAGTGAGTTCAATGATTCCCAGCTTCAGCTTGACAGTAAAAGATAAAATTTTTCAGATACTGATAAGGATGCAGCTCAGCTCGGCAAACACACACATATCCCAGCATACTTTTCTACACAGTGTACATTGTGTTCCCCTGTGTAATTTATAGTCAGCTGCATTTTATGGCAATCTTCCCTTAACAGCTCTTGCTTCTGTTTTACATTTGAACTTTTCAACTTCTAGCTGAGGAGTTACGATGTACAGTATACATCAGGTAATAAAAAACTAGCTGTTTTTGTTGTTACTCCCTGACAGGAGCTGAAAAAAGTGACAGAGGAAGTAAAATTGCACAAAGCACCATCAGGAGTGGAATTGTTTTATTATGATTTATTATAATTTGTATTCACAAAGTAATAAAATCAATGCAGCGTGATGGCAAGCTGTTCCCCTCCAGTAACATTTAGTGGAACAAAAAGCTAAATCTAACACAGCATATCGCAGCCCCCGCATAAACCATGAACAATTAAAGATAAATTAAATAAGTATTTAAAAAAAAAAATTGAGGGCGTTGGTGGATATTCTGAATGTGTCGACACCACAGAAAAACATACAATTTACAACACTGCAAGAACAAAGTACACTTTTACCCTGCAATAAAATCCCAGTGCTATTTAGTTTTCTTGTTTGTCAAAAGAAAAAAGATTATGAATATTATGAATATTAAGAATTAAATTAAAATACTTAAAATAAAAGATAAATACCGTCACAATAACATTCTAACAAAAAGCTAAAAAAAAAAAAATCAGATCTTATGATTTCCTTTTAAGAAACTTGTACAGAAACTTATACAACATCCAAAAATGTTCCCCTACAAGCAGTACTTTCTACTTTC